TGCCAGCTAGGTTAAGTTCCCTGCGGGCTAAGCTTGAGGATGACGCCATGCTTTTTTAGCAAAGTTTATTTTAAATGATTTCACATTCTTTTTTTGGTATCTTCATGTCAATATAGTCTAGTGATAAAGTCTTGCATCGGAAACTAGAAGTGTATTCTCTTGAAGGATTGCATGATTGTTGATGAATGATTGACAGCATGTACAATTTGTCTACTTCGTCAATAAATTCTATGGCATTTTTAGTTGTTATTGGCATTCTCATAGTGCAAAGTTCAATAAAGGTATACACTTGTGGTGAAAAAATTGTCATGGCATAAAACGTTATTTCAACTCCTTAAAAAAAAAAATGAATATATGTATTTTCTCTGTATGATGTTAATTTTTACCAACAGCCTGGAACCCCATTACTGTATCTAAGTTATGTTTATCCATAGCCTCTTTACAGAATATGGCTATACGGTAAAGATCTACAGTGATGCCTTTTTGCCTTGTTTCTTTTGTCTTTATCTCCCCAATAATATTAGTATATCGGTTAGTTTCATTGTCATATACTTCTACGATGTAATCTGGTCGACTGCCATTCGTTATACACCCCATACTGAATGCTTTGTTGGATCTAGCAACATTGGTCCTAGCTTAGTAACTAATTAATAGCCTAGATACTTGAGACTTACACATGTGGTATAGCTTCTTCCTTTGATGATCTAAACAAATTGTTCATCAAGGGATGTATATATGAGGCTTGCAAATGTCCTTCAGAAATAGGAAATATATCTATTGCTTGTGTTGCTAACACGCTTAATTCTTTGTTAATGGAGCATACAAAGTCTAATTTGAAAGCTGTACAATACTTACGCTGCTTGTACTGCACATATCACAGCACGATAGGAATCCTTCGAATTTTTTGCTAATTTTGACATTTTGTACATAAAACTGTACCTGTCTATCTTTTCCGACATATATTTCTATAACCAAATTAAAAATAAATCTCAACATCATAATCTCCATATACTTTTGTCAATTTTTCCATTTTCGCTTTAATGCATCTCACAAATTTTCCTTTTGTATATAGCCTTGTTAAGACACCGTTGTACATATTGTCATTCAATTTCACATCAAATGGATTTTTCATTTCATTTTCTCCAAGTAATGATTTTTTAAGCAATAATATATTTGACAACGCTCTATGATTTTGTATAGCATCAGTTACTTCCTTTTTAACTAGACCTTAATACATACAATAGTTCTCTTGTATTGATCACAACGTTGAGTGGATCTGTCTCGTGAGTAATTCTACACCCTTGTCTATACTGAAGAAACATTTCAGACACGTTTTTTCCATCTACTATCCAGCTACTCAAAGGATCAGGACTGGCCTCTCTTGATATTCTATAAAAAAGTACTACATGAGCATCGTCCAACTATGGGCTGTGAAAACAAGTGTACTTTATAACATGTAACCCCAGTACGTGATTTTTTAAATCGTTTCGGTCATCAAAATAACTTGGACATGAAGGGCACTCGTACAAGATATGCGAATCACTAACTTCAGATGATATCGTCTTTCTACGTTTTCGGCGTTGTTTTTCCCTTCGTGTGGTTACAACACAGTTATGCATAGAACATAAATGTCGCCGAAAGGATTGATGGCTTTTGAAGGTAGCATTGCAAAAGATACATAACTTTTTATAGATGGCGCCCATATTTCGAAAAAAAGAAAAAGAAAAAGGAATTGTTTATACTCGAAGCATATATGTTTATAAAGCTGTACAACGTAGAGCCAGTACAACAATAATAAAACGTGAACCGTGACTCCTAAACAGATCGCCTCTTGCGGTCTAGAGTTCACTTCAGACAACTACAACTATTTATTCACTACAAAAAATTTTGTCAACAGAGTCTTGCTCCTTTGGCCGATGCTTTTTATCGTATGAGTACGATGCTAATTCATATGCTAAAAGATGAAAATGACGTTGAATAAGCAAAAAAAAATTGACATTTTTGAAACTAGTGTTGTTGGGAGGGCTGTACAAAAAAGGAATACGCATCCGGAATCCATGCCCAGAAACTAACAATGGGACTTTAAACGTGATCACAGCAATCCAAATGCCATCTGGTGTAGTGAACCACCAATTGTGGCTGTCATCGACTGGAGCCGTCAACATATCCAAGTTTTTCTGATAACGTTCGAGACCGAAAAATTCCACAAATTGACTCTTATGCGCAACCATATAGTTACGCATGGTAGAACGAACTGCGAACCCAGCTGTATCAGCAACCAAATACGGCATACCCAAAACTGCTCTAGCAATACAGCTATACCCACACCATCCATTGTTTGTAGGATCGTACTTGCTAATTACGTTTGCCTCCGGATAATATTTGTAAATCATGTCAGTTTTTTTAATTACGGTGTAAAATTTCGAATTATAATCCAATAAAAATGGATTAAATGAAGAATTGCTTTCTTCAACATTTTCTGTAATGTTTTCTTTATTCAATATTTTGTCTAAATTCATATTTTTTGTAGCAGTGTAAAAAAAAAAATTAAAAAAAAACCGCTCTAAACAAAGTGACGTCTGGTTGGAGCGGAGAACCAATATATGAGCTTGTCCCCGGGATAAGCCGAACAAGTCTAGAGATCATCCAAGGACAGCCTTATCCTTGATATAAAGTTAAAAGTACATCAAATAGGAAAACTTATCCTTCAAGACACCTAATTACAAATTACCCTATCATTCTGTGGTAAGCTACATTTAAACTTTTTAATTACACGCACAACGATTTATTTGTAAAATGAAATAAAGGTCAAAACAAAACAAAACAAAAAAACCAAGACTCCTTGTTACGTAAACTCTATATTCATTTCATGCAAATATGACCGGAAATTAACAAAATGTCTATAATTTTTGCCGTCAGATAAGACAAATTATTGTATTTATGTTACCTAGACATACTCCATGAGTGCTTCCTTTGATACTCTTTTGTTTGTCTTACGAGTACTAGGAATACAATAAAATGATGTTTTACGACGGCTGTTGTCCCAGCAGATAGATTTTATCTCCTTATACTTGACTTGTGACTGACCAAAAATATTTCTTGCAGCCATTTGACCAACAATGAGAACTACTCGGGGTTGAGTGACGTATAATTTTGCTTGTAGTTTTTGTCTGCACTTATGTACACTATGTGAAAATTTATGGACAACCTACCCTAAAATAATCTTTGACTTTTTTTTTTTTCTCTTCTAGTCCAAAAGGTGCACAAGGCAGGTCTATAGGAGACAACTCCGGGTAGTGTATATTATGTTGCTTGTGCATGAAAATGACCAGAGTAAAATATGGCTGACAAAGAGAGGGGATAAGTACAAAAGTTTTTTAAGCGTTGCTTTATAAAATAGCTAATATTTATTTAATAA